GTTGGTTGTTCAACATTTACTAACATATGACTGAGCAAATACATCTCCATTTGTATATTTATATATATATAATATAATTTACTGCATTATGAACAAATTTAATTTTAAGAAGATGATGAATTAGTGGAAAGAGAAGTTAGGAAAAAAATCCCATTCAAAATAACCTCAAAAAAAAAAAATACTTGGGAATCAATCTAACAAAAGAGGTGAAGGACCTCTACAATGAAAACTTCAGAAAACTAAAGAAAGAAATTGTGGATGATCTCAGAAGATAGAAAGATCTCCCATGTTTTTAGATAAGCAGAATTAATATTGTAAAAATGGCCATACTACCAAAAGTGCTATACAGATTCAATGCAATTCCCATCAAAACTCCAATGATGTTCTTCATAGAAATCAGAAAAGCAGTAATGAAATTCATTTGGAAAAATAAAAAGCCCAGAATAGCCAAAGTACTCCTTATTGAGTATTGAAAAGAAAACACAAGAGACAAACCCACAAGAAACCAGTTATCTCATATTAGACAAAGGCACCATACGTGTACACTAAAGTAAAGATAGCCTCTTCAACAAATGGTGCTTGGAAAACTGGAAACCCGTATGTAGAAGAATGAAATTTAACTCCTATCTCTCATCCTGCACAAAAGTCAACTCAAGGTGAATCAAAAACCAAGAAATTAGACCAGCAATTCTGCATATACTAGAAAAAATTGTAGGCTCAACACTCCAACATTCTGGCTCAGGAATTGACTTCCTTAACAAGACTCCTGAAGCACAAGAAGTAAAATAAAATGAGATGACATCAAACTAAAAAACTTCTTAACTGGAAAGGAAACAATCCACAGCATGAAGAGAGAACTTACAGAATGGGAGAAAATCTTTGCCACATACATCTCAGATACATCCAGGATATATAAAGAACTCAAAAAGCTTAACACACACACACACACACACACACACACAAAAAAAAAACGCCCCACAAATAACCTAATCAATAAATGGGCAAAGGAACTAAACAGACACGTCTCAAAAGAATATAAATGGTCAACAAATATATAAAAAATGTTCAACATCTCTAGCAATTAGAGAAATGCAAAGTTAAAACTACACTGAGATCTCATCTCACTCTAGTTAGAAAGGCAATGATCAAGACTACAAATATGGGGCTGGGATGTGGCTCAAGCCGTAGCGCACTCGCCTGGCATGCGTGTGGCCCGGGTTTGATCCTCAGCACCACATACAAACAAAGATGTTGTGTCCGCCGAAAACTAAAAAATAAGTATTAAAAAATAAAAAAATAAAAAGACTACAAATACATTGCTGGTTGGACTACAAACTGGTGCAACCACTCTGGAAAACAGTATGGAGATTCCTCAGAAAACAAGGAATGGGACCACCATTTGACCAGTTACCCATCTCCTTGGTATACATCCAAAGGATTTAAAATAATCATACTACAGTACCTCAGCCACGTCAATGTTTATGGCAGCTCAATTCACAATGGATAAGCTATGGAGCCAACCTAGGCTCCCTTGAACAGATGAATGGATAAAGAAAATGTGATACATATACACAAAGGAGTATTATTCAGCCATTAAGAAAAATGTCTTTATGACATTTGCCAGTAAACAGATGGATCTGGAGACTACCAAGCTAAATTACATAAGACCAAAAAGCTAAAAGCCAAATGTTTTTGCTGATATGTAGAAGCTGACCCACAATAAACAGAGAGAGGGAAAGAACAGATATTCAGTAGAATAGACAAAGGGGAATGAAGGAAAGGGGACACGAACAGGAAAGGCAGTGGAATGAATCTGACATAATTTTCCTATGTACATATATGAATACACTACAGGGAATCCACCATTGTATACATACACAATATACACAAGAATAGGGTCCTAATTAGAATAACATATATTTCATGCTTTTATAACTATAACAAAATGAATTTTGTTGTCACATATAACTAAAAAGAGTCAATAAAAATTTAAAAGAAGAAGAATATATAAACGTTAACATTAAGCACAAAAATTTAAACTGGATTTTAATTTGTCAAGACAAAAAACTATTTGCTTGGACAATGCCACATCATACTATTTACCTTGATATATTGTCTTATTAACCAATAATAAGGAGAATGGGTGGAACATTGTAGAACACTGGAACAGACTAGTTCAAATCCAGACTCTGCTTCAAATTCTGTTTGACTTAGACAAGTTATTTATATCTCTATTCCTTAGTTTCCTTCGTTGTAAGGCATCCTGTATTAATTCCACCTCCTTAAATGTGCATACTACCTTTCACTTTTCAAAATATTTTTACACACTGTGCTTTAACTTTTAAAAAATCTTTGTTATCAGCAAAATTACAGGAAAATTTTCATATACATACATGTATATCCACAACTCTAAAACAAAATTTATTTGGTCATACAAATCAAAACATAGTCACTAAATCACATATATGTTCTATTACTTTAACTGGTTTATACACATTGGATCTGAAGTAATTCTAAGTCAAGGCAGCTCTAGTGAAGAAAATCAATTGGACTTAAGAGGACAGATTCTATCTCTTCTGTTCACACAAGAAACAATCAGAATTTTGCTTAGGTGTTTGGAGCCACCTAGAGGGAAGATTTCTCAGTACCAGAAAATGTGTAACTTTTCCTCCCTAACATTTTGAGACAAACACTGCAACACCAATACAGAACCTATACCTGGATTAGAAATAAAAGAAAGAGTCTGAATGAGTTTTTTACAGCTGATCTCCATTTAACAAATATACTAACTAAGTCATATGCTGGATGCTAGGATTATAGAAACATAAGAAAGATCTATGGCCTTAGTCCAGGGGTAGGCAAATTATAATTCACAAGGCAATTCTGGGCCTCTGTCTCCTTTTGTAAATAAAGCTTTACTGGAAGTTCATCACAATCATCCATTTACAACTGTTTATTGCTATTTTCCCACTAAAACAGAAAGTCAATAATTATGACAAGGGATAGGCCCACAAAACCTATAGTATCTGACCCTGTGCAGTAAAATTGCTCTGGCATAGAGGGAGTTCACAGCCCAGGTAGATCTGACAGTCAGTGGTGTGAATATTTTTGAGTCAGCAGAATGTCAGGGCAAGCCTCCTAAATTAAGAAATAATTAACGGGGCCTTAATTAAAAATTAGAAAGCAGCCTGACACGGAACTAAGAGCATATACCAAGTAGAGGTAATCACATAAGAAAAGGTCTAGTGGCAATAGGACACAGGGTCTGTCTCAAGAACTGCAAGGGTTTGGTGTTGCTTGAATATAGTATACAAGTGGTAGAAGACAATGCTGAAAAGAAAGCCTTATGAACTGTAAATACCAAAAGAAAAACTTTGTATTTTTAAGAAAATATATACATATACACACACACATATAGTGATATACATATATATCACTTCAGGTGTATACTTGCAAAATCAACAAACAAAAAAACCCATTACCTCTGAAAGAACAAACAAAAAACTTTTAAAAAATTGCTGGAAAATGAATACTAAAGACAAGACAGATAAAAAAGATAGGGTCAGGAAGATGTCACTAAAAACTATTTTTAATTTTCTGTTTTTGAAATTACACGAGCACCTTGTCTCTTCTAAAATTAAAAAGTTTAGATTTGGTAAAAATTTAAGAAAGAAGCAGTAAGAGGAGACAAGCAAATCAGAATACCTTGTAGGTACAATGCGTAAGAAGACTGGAAGATGCAGATAGTAGTTAGAAACCAATGGACAGACTACTAGCTATTTTAAGTAAATATATTAACAATGTATTATGGTGCTTACAACATATGAAGATGTAAAACATATGACAAAAGTAGCTCAAAGGATGAGAGGGGAAGAAAGTAAAAGGAGTTAAATTACTGTAGGATTTTACACTTTAAGTGGAATCATAGGCAGACTATGACAAGCTGAGGACAAATACTATAATCTCTACACTGACCATTATAAATAAAATACTAACAGGTTTAGATACAAAGTCAAAAGAGAAAATCAAATGGAATTTTAAGAAAGTAAAATGAAGAATATCAATTTAGCCTCCCAAAAAGTAAGAACATAGATACCAAGGAACAAAGAATAAAACTGAAAAGAAATAGCAAGATGGCAATATAAAACCCAAGACTATCAGTAATTAAATTAAATATAAATACATTAATCCCTCTAATAAAAAGACAAAGATTATCATATTGCATTTAAAAGAAAACCAAAGGTTTTTTTGTAAGGAATACACTTTAAAAATAAGAACACAGTTGGTCACGATGGTCAGTAGTTGTGGTACATACCTACAATACCAGCTACTTAGGAGTCTAAAGCAGGAGGATCACAAGTTTGAGCTAGTCTGTGCAAATTAGCAAGACCCAATTTTAAAATAAAATTAGAAAAAGATTAAGGATGTAGGTCAGTGTTAGAGCACTTATCTGGTATGTATGAGGCTACAAGTGTGACAACCCTCCCCCCCCAAAAAAACACTGATAAATTAAAAGAAAAAGATAATAATTTTTAAAAAGCCAACAATGATTATGCTAATACCAGACAAAGATGATTTTAAGACAAATTTATTACCAGATACTACAGATAAAGAGAGATATTTTATAATATTAAAAGAATCAATTTACAATGGATCAAACAATCCTAAATGTTTTACCCAATTATATAGTTAAAAATAACTAATGTAACAACTAAAACTAAAAACATATCACATGGGAAAAAGCAACCAAATTAGCTACATCCAGATTTATAAATTCAATTAAATAGATCACATAATGATGGGAGCAGACCGGAATAAATAATTGAGGATAACAGGAACAAAGGACAAAATTTAAATTGAATCAAGCAAAAATTGAGCCTTATATATACACTAAAGATATATGTACCTTAATTGCGTGGATATCTTATTCAAAGGAAAAATTAAAGATCAAATAGAACTGGATAAATTCTATTATTATATAGTATATTTATTTTTCTTACCAGCATCACTGTTAAATTCATTATTCTTCCAAGGTTATCAATATAGTAGACACTGTCTTGATACCATGAATCACAGTGTAGGTAATTATACATCCCAAAAGCATGCATGTGTTCCAGTGTATATTGATCATCACGAAGTTTTACCTCTGCCACAGCTGAAATATAATAAATAAATAAACATAATCATCAAGAGTTTTATTCAGATTGTTCCTTTTTACAGAATACCTAAAAGGCAAGGAAACCATGCATGACAATCACAAAGGCTGCTTCAGGGCAATTCACTATATGATCACTTAATAATTTCTGGATATCTAATATGCACTGTGTGCAGATGACTAGTAGGAGGATATGGTTATACCCTTTAGAACCTAGAACATAGTGACTGTAGTAGATAGATTTTTTTAAATCATAACTCTTCTTTTAGGCACTTTTTATAATTAAGAACAAATTCTAAGAATGAAGGTTTTCCTGTCTTTAGGGCAAATAATAAGCCCAATTTTTTTAAGTATTTTTATAATTTTAAATGTTTCCATTTTATTATATTTTCATTTTAAACACACATTAAGAAATAAAGAGAATGGTTTTATTTTATCACTACACAGATATGGAAATAAATATAAACACCAACTGCAACTTCTCTAATATCATGTCAAATCCTTCTAATAGTACAGAACAAAACAGTGTCACAGCTGGAATAGACACAAGGCTTCCTACTTCCAGAAAAGGGCATTCTTCACTAAAACATTAGCTGCCTCCCTCATTTTAAATCTGACAAACATGTTCTCTTCCTCTCAAGCTCCTACTTGCCTCTCCATGCTTATAGCTCAATGCTGCCCAGGACCTGTAATTAATTTCTGCAATAGAAAATATGTAAGTGGACTATGATGGGCCAATATATTATCTTGATATAAAGTATATGCTTTACTGTATTCTAATCACAACTATTTTCTTCTCGCAGAATACTTACTTACCTTTCCTGCTTCTAATACCTGATTTGAATCCTGGCTAACTTACACTTATTCAATCATTTATCTAGAAAATATTTTAATAGATACAGTGATGAGCAAAGAGTATCTTCTTAGCACTTACAATTAAGTGAAGAAATGAACAGTACTCAGTTACATAAATCTTACATAATTTTTATATCATAATTTTATATATTAAACTGTGATGTTATAAAGAAAAATTACCAGTTACTAAAGAACACAAAAAGTAGTGAGTTTTACTTGGGAGACTAATGAAAGTTTTTCAAGGATTAAGCCAAGACATAAAAGGTAAGTAAGAATTAAGAAGAAATATGCTCATACTTCCACATATAACTCTGTACTCTAAGCAAAAAAAGTAGGAGTAAAACCGTATGTTCAAAGAACCAAACGAAGGACATACTGCTACATACAGAACAAAAAGAATGGCTAGAGATGAATGAAGTTAGAGAACTAGGCAGGAGGAGTTAGACTGTGAAAGTCCTTGTCTTTATTTCTTTATTGATAATAAAGTGTAATAAGAATTCATTAGGTTGTTTAGCAGGAGAGTAAAGTTCAGATGTGAGTTTTTAAGAGAGTGCTTATAATGCTTATTATACACACTCAAACTTTTATCTTTTTATATCTTCATACACAAATAGCAAACTAAGCAAATAGAAGAAGACAGTTAATTTGTTGGGTTGATTTTAGAAGGTGAGTGGTTCAAGAAGTGACCTTTATAGGTGGAAATAATGTGGAAAACAGACTGGAGCAAAACAGGGATAAATTCAGGAAGACCCATTAGGAACACTACAAATGTGAAATCATAATTTTGAAAGACTTGACAGAAGTTGAGGAAACTAACTGTTTCACTTGAGGAAGTGTGTACTTGCAAGGAATGGTTAACAAATATACGTTCTATGGATAGGAAGGAAATAATTATCCATTTTTTTTTTAGGACCACTGTGTGGATGAAACACTGGAAATGTCCATGAAAATGTAACAGCCCAAAAAAACTTTAAACAATAATATAACAAATACATTTTCTCCCTATGGGAGCAAAGAGCCCTCAATAATCATGAACAGGTCAGAAGTTTCTTAGCCTTTTGCCTTACTATATTTCAGTTGCAAACACATTTATCTCTGGAAAACCAGTTAAAAGACCTTGATATAACAGGAGTTGGTTGTTGCATTTCAATAAGATAATCTATGTAAGTTATTGTGACAGAGAAGCAAGCAGCACAGGGCATGCTTACTAGTTTGTAAAACTCTCTTAGTGTGCAGAAAAAGGCTGCTTCTCTAGCCCTAAATGAGAAATAAAAAGTTGTAACTACATTTATCACATCAATCTTCTTGAGTATAAAGATGGGAGGCAGAACAAGCGAAAGGAGAAAAGCAGTGTCCAGAATGTGACAAAGCTTAACCACCAGCAAGCTCTTTTGTAGAGCCTTCCCAAGAAAGAAAGGAAGAGGCAGGGAACCTCTAATCTGTTGGGATCTTTGAAATGGTTGAAGAGGAACCCTTTTTATAAAGAATTCAGTGCAGTAGTTTTTGGTACCTGAGATTGAACCCAGGGGTGCCACATCCCTAGCTGTTTTCAAGTAAAACAGATTCAACTCTTTTGCTAATGGTGCTAAGGATGGTATCCACTACTGCTTCTTGAACTCTCAAAGTATATTATTATGTTAAACTACATAAAATTTCCAATTTTTGACATCAATTAAATATGATGTAACCTAATATTTATCTAAACACATTAGTTTTTAAAAAGTAGTGTTGGAGAAGCAAAGAATAATAATCTATAAAGGTCACTTCTTGAACCACTCACCTTCTAAAATCAACCCAACGAATTAACTGTCTTCTACTATTTGCTTAGTTTGCTATTTGTGTATGAAGATATAAAAAGATAAAAGTTATGAGTGTGTATAATGAGTTCTAAAACAAGGCTTACAAAACAGGGCAGGACGTAAGTCAGGAGTACTGCTCCCATGAAACTATTTTATAAAATGCTTCTGGGATCATAACACATTTATCTGGCTATCTTCCCCATAATTTCCTACAGAGTGTAGATAGGAGTTTTATAGTAAACTCTACTAGAGAAATTATGTTTTCACTTAAAAATATATATTGAACAATTTTTGTTTGTAGTAAAAATGGAATAGGAAGCAATTCTGTTTTTCCATCTGAAATAACTAATAAGAAAAAATAAAATAAATCAGACATAATTACATGAAACAACAGTTTCCAAGATACTAGGCATCTGGTAACATAGAAAAATGATCACTAAGAAACCCAAAACACATGAGGTGAACCCTATCACTGCCCCAGTCTACAAAGTTTTGTGAAGTTTCCAGACCAAGGCATAAAAAATGGGAAAGTGAGGCAGACTGATCTGAAAGTCTGGAGAAACCATGGAAGTTACAGTTGATTAGTCAGAGTAGCAAACAGAGAGGCAAACCCCAGAGATCTGCAGAGGTCTCCCTGAAGAACTCAGCATGTGTTTGGAGGAGCCAACCCCAAACCAAGGAAAGAACCATCTGAAAGACTATGGGGAAAGGTACTGGACACTCACACAAGACTGCAGAGTGACTAGGCCAAACAGGAAGAATGAAAACACTCCTAATTTGTGGGATACTGGGCAGAGTACACAGCAAGCCTTGCTTCCATAGTGGGGAATAGTTAGCCCTAGACTAAACCAGACTATCAAATCTTAAAAGCAAGATTCAATGGAATTAACCTGCTTCCAAGCAGCTAAAATAAAACCCAGAAAAAAAGATTATGAGAATACAAAAATACCCTGCATCCAATAAGGTAAATTCACAATTTCTGATACCCAATCAAAGCAGAAAAGGAAAGGAAAACAAGCCCATAATGAGGAGAATCACCAATCAATAGAAGCTAATACATAACTGACATAAAGGGTATAATTAGCAGAGTAGCAGATTAAAACAGTTATTACAAGTATATTTCATATGTTTAAAATCATAAGCAGGGGCATAAAAGATATAAAAAAATTTTAAATCAGACTTTAAAAAGAGAGTTAAAAAAGAGAAAAAATAATGCAGAATAAAAGGGGGGTAATGATGAACTTCCAGAATAGGTAAATGAAGTTCTCAAAGGAGAGAACAAGAGAAAAATTTGGAAGAAAATTATGAACTCAGAGTTTATAGGTCAGCAAACCCCAAGAATAAGAATCATGAAGAAAACCACACCTAGGCACACATAATTATTGAACTGCTCAAAACCAATGTAAAATAGAAAAATCTTAAAAGCAGCCAGAGGAAAAAATGTATGCTATGTACAGAGCAACAAAGACAGGATAATGTCAGATTTCTCATCAGTTACAAAACAAGCAAGAAGACTACAGGGCAAAATCTTTACAAAATTAAAGAAGAAAAATTGTCAACTTAGAATTCTATATGTGGCAAAAATATCTTTGGAAGAATCAAAGCAAAATATAGATCCTTCCGTACTAAAACATGGAAAGAATTAATTACCAGATTGTAAGAAACAATTAAATTCATTCATGCAGAAGGAAAATTGCAATACACAAAAATATGGATCTAAATAAATGAAAGAACACCAGAAGTAACAACTGTAAGTAAATACACAAGATTTTTTTCTTATTTAAATTTCTTTAAGAGATAATTATTTAAATAAAAATAATATATTGTGAAATATACAATAACATATAAGACTAAAATTCATGACAATAGCTCAAAGGCCAGGAAGAAATGGTATAAAAGTATAAGGTTCTTAAAATACATGGTAAATAATATACTATCATTGAAATGTAACCAATATACATCCTAAAGTGATTATTAAAATAATAAAAAAGTACAGCTGATAGCCCCAACAAAGGAAATTAAAACACAAGTATATATGTATGTGTGTGTATACATATGCATATATACACATACATACTATGGCATAATTAATCAAAAGAAAGCTGGGGTGACTAATATCAGACAGACCTCAGAGCAAAAAACTAAAAAAATCTTGCTAGGGATAAAGGTTATTTCATAATGATAAAGGGGTCAATTTATCAAGAGAACATAATAATGTTTATGAAGCTGGCAACAAAGTTTCAATATATATCATGCAAAAAATGGTAAAAATTAGCCAGGTGGGGTGGCATATGCCTGTAATCAACAGCTCTGGAAGCAGAGGCAGGAGGATCACAAGTTTAAGGCCAGCCTCAGTAACTAAGCAAGGTCTTAAGCAACTTAGTGTCTCAAAAAAATAAATACAAATGAACAGGGCTAGTGTGTTGCTCAATGGTTAAGCAAGTGCCCCTAGGTTCAATGCCTGATACCCCACCAAAAAATAAAACAAAAAATTTATAAAACTCCAAGGACACATAGAGAAATCCACAATCATAGGCATAAATTCTAATACCCTTCTCTTGCAACAAGGATGATTTCAAAATAATCGTGCTGAGTAAAAGAAGCCAGACAGGAGTGGTGCGGGGAGTGGGGACATAGTACACAGTATATAATTCCAGTTATATAAAATTCTAGAAAATCATATTAATTTATATTGTCACAAAACATATCAATAGTTGCTTGGGGATGGGAGGAATATGGGAAGAGCAGAGGGATAGGTGTATAGTTACAGAGGGTACAAAGAAATTTTGGTGGATGATAGCTAAGTTTATCATCTTGATTATGGTGACCTCATGGGTGTATCCATGCCAAAACTTGCTGAATTGTACATTTTAAATATATGCAGTTTATTGTTAACTATATCTCAACAAACCTGTTTAATGTGCAAGTGATACAAAATCATCCACTATTCAACCAAGCAACCTCCAGCTCTACAGATAAAGCACTGAAAAAGATAGACACAATACAGAACCAAGACTCTTGGCACAAAAGCAAACACTGAATGCTGCAAAGTGTCTATGAAGCACAGGGTACTACTGGAAAGTACAGAACAGAAGAGATTCTAACTTGTACAGATTTTACAGTATGGACTCTAACTATGTAGTCAAGAAAGGAATCCCTGAAGAAGTAAAAGAATAAAGTACAAATTAATTAGGTGAACTATAGGGGCAAACATAAAAAGATCTACTAAATAAGATTCTAGGGAAAGGATGTCTATAGGATAAATACTCAGACATGGAACTGCTGGATCAAAGACAATTACAATTTTAGGAAACAAATTTTTTGCTTAGGTTTTTTCTTTCTTTCCATTTTTTTTTAAATTGGTGCTTTATAGTTATACATAATGGTGAGATTTATTGTTACATATTTATACATGTACACAATCTAACAATATAATTTGGCCAATGTGACTCCCCAGCACTTCCCCTTCCCTTCCCACTTCTCAACATCTTTTACTTAGTTTTTTGGAGTGGAAAAAGACAAAGTAACACTGTTTATGTTGCAGGGGTAGTTCTAGAACAACTTAATAATATTAAGACAAGAAAATAAGCCTGTTAGCCAAGCTCTTTGAGACCAGAAACCACATCTGCATCCTCATATCTTAAACAGTATTTCACACACCCAAGAGTGCAACCAAAGGTTTGCTAAATTAAACTCCTTGGGTTAGGATAAAAAAAAAAATCAAATTATCAGGAGCTCCTCAATTATACCTTAACTATCTCTAGAAATGATAGTTTGTAAAGAATCAACCTCTTCTTTTTTTGTTCTGTTTTTGTTGTTGTGTTTCTTTTGTTCTCAAGTAATTCATAAAAGCCTTCAGACAGTTGTCTCCATTCCTCTGGTCTTCTAAATAACTACAGAGCCATAGGGTAAATGATTTAACCACCAAATTTGCTCATTTCCCTTTATACTTAAAAACCCTCAAACAGCACCACTTTACCTCTGGTTTTGCCTTCTAAACACAGAATCTAAGACCAACATTGTGAAATATGGGCGAGGGGAGACAGTGTGATTTTAATAAAGTAAATTAATTTATTCATTTATTTAGGCAGTGGGGATTGAAACCAGGGGGTCTTTACCACTAAGCTACATCTCCAGCCCTTTATATTTATTTTGGGACAGGGTCTCACTAAGTTGCCCAGGCTAGCCTGGAACCTGGGATCCTCCTACCTCAATTTCAATTGCTGGGGATTACAGCCATTCACCACCCCAGCCAGCTTAAATGTTTTCACTTTGGAGTATCATTTATTGCGAGATTTCAATTCCTGATTTTTTTAATGTTACAATATCCCACACTGACTCTAGGTTTGATTATTTTATTTTATTTAACCAGTAAAGCAAAAGTGCATTCCAACTTAGCAAATTAAAATGCTGGCAAAACTATGACAACTGAACTTTATCTTTTATTGCAATTGCACATGAAAAAGTCTGGGAAACAAAGGATAAAGTCCAAAAGATGAATAGTGCCCTCATCAGTCTAACTCCTCTTTTTGCAAAATTTTTCACCAATACAGGACTGCATCAGCATTCTGCATACGGCCTACTGATCTTTTCCTTTTAGCTCATGTTTTTCCACAAATGGAATGTCCTCAACAACTTCATTCATTCAACTTATTGAGTAACTACTATGTGCCAAGAACTAAAACAAAGTAGTGAATAAAAGAGAAACATCATGGAATTCAAAGTCTAGTGGAGGAAACATCCATCCAATATAGAATCTAGAACTACAATAATTACTGATTTATGGAGAATAAAATGAAGGATCTCTAAAGTGAAAGCAAGAAGGCTAGTCAGAAAACTACTATATTTTAGGCAAGTGAAAACAACGATTTGGACTAGGAAACATGGAGAAGTAAAAATCAGGAGTTTAGGGCACTTGCTGACAAGTTGAACTGAGGACTTCACAAAGAAATACTCAAACATAAATAACTATACAGACTAAATTAACAGTCACAATTTTTATGCCTCCCTGGATCTACACCTTCTTTATGACCTTCCCACACGTACTCCAGACTTGATTATTTGATTTGCCTTGACCAGTGGAGCAAAAAACTTGTTGCAAGGAGCAGCCTGAAAAAAGCACTTATGCACTGCTACTCACATCCTCCAAAGAGCCTGAGCTAGCCTGCAGAAGGATGACAGACCACAAGGAGAGTTAAGCAAAGGTCATCTGAAAGAATCTTAAATCAGTCAATGGCAAAGAACACCCAAACAGATGAAAAAAAATCCAGTTATGATGAGCACAGTTGCCTAGCAGACCCATAACTGAACAAGAATGCATGAATGAGCCCATCCAGGACTAGAAGAATCAAGTAGGTAGGCAATCTATGAATTTGTCAGTAACAATCAGTTTGTCAGCAACAATAAGTGCTTTTTGGGTTTTTGTTTAGTTTTGTTTTTTTTCCCCTAATGTATCAGCTCACAAAATATGGTGGTACTATTTACTGACTAGGAAACAGAGACTGAAAATGGGGTGGGAGGAAGGCAGAAAAGGAAACGAAAAATCAAGCGTATCTTCTCTCATACTGGTTAACCTATATTCTTTATAGCACAACTTAGATATCAACTTCTCCAGAAAGCTGGCCCAGATCCACAGGCTAGTTATTCAAGAATTACCATTGTATTTTATACACATATCCATCACTGCCTTCCCACATTATTTTATACTTATTTGGCATTTTCTTCCTAACGAAATAATAGTTCTGTTATCCAGTTACGGACTGTGTCCTATTCATCTTGATAACATTGGCATGTAACAGAACAGGCCCTCTATAGATGTTTCTGAATTTAATAAACGGATAAACACTCACTTCTTTGATAATATAACGTCTATTAATTAACTCTGGACCCGTATTTCTCAAAGTGTGATCCACTCACTGACAACCTGCACCAGAATCAGAAGTGTGTTAAAAAATGGGCAAACCTCCGGGCTCTATCATCAACGTAAATGTACTTTTTACAATGAAAACGTTCTGGCCAGCTACTAACAGTTAGTAGCAATGTGGTTACTAAAACAAAGCAATCAGCAGTGTGATTACAAAATCATCTTTCTTCAAAAAATGTCTAGCGATATTTTTTCTACGACAGTCCTCAGTGTGCCAGGACCTGGGAAACTGAAAATGCTCTGACAGGTATGTAGTTTCTCCTCTAAGAAATGGCTCTGCGTCAAAGGAAAACAGGCGTTGGGTTTTTCCAAGGAGGTGTGGCTTCTCAGCTAACACGATGACAGACAACGTCCAGAGAACGTCCCGAGCTTTCCCCACGGCAGGGCCAGCCGGGTGGACCCGCGGTCCGAACCCAGGCATCACCCGTGTGCCCCACCTCGGGGTCGAGGGCGGGCCCAGGGTCCCGCTGGTGAAAAGCCACACCTAAGCGGTTTTCACGGGGCTGAAGGGCATCGTTATCCAGAGGCAACCACCCTGTGTGCACCCCAGCGCGACGGGCAGTAACGAAGGCCATGTTGTTCTGCTTGCCCTAATACACAGAAAGAAAACGCGGGAAGGCTCAGGCCGATGGCAGCCGAAAGAGGAAAGGAAGGGAGTGTGAGGGGTCGCCACAGCTTCCCACCTGCGTCAAGTTCCAGCTGGTAACAGGGCAGTGGCTCGAGAGAGAGCTTGTAACCCTCGAAGCGGGGGTCCAACAGAGGTCTCTTCACCCGCAGGGAGCAATTAGCCGCCACCTCCATCTCTTTCCAAGATCCCAGCGTGGGAATTAATAAAGCTCTTGTTGAAAGGTCCGCGCTTCACTCCTGGAACTGAGGCTGAAAAGCGGCGTGGTTCCCATCCCAGAAACCACTGCGGCGCCACTGCCTTTTGGGAAATGTAGTGTGCGCGAGAAATCGGACCCTTGTTGCATGCTGGGTTTTGTAGTTTCTCGGGGACTTAAGGCCCGCTCAACGGCAGGACTTGGACTCTCTTACCCAGCGGGCTAAGCGACCAGGAGGCGGCCCGCGCTAGTTAAATTCTCACTTTATAGGCAGGGTGGCGAGACCCCGCCCCGGAAATGCGTGTTCTAGCTTTCTGTGTGCTTAGGTGCCCGAGCTACTGAGGGTCTAAGTCCGGGCAGCCGAAGAGTGTGGTAGGTAACGGTCGTCAGCGCAAGGGTCATTTCGTCGCTGGGAAGGGACGGCCCTCGCCCGCGGTGATGGTGGTGAGCTATGCCCGTGGTCCTCAGGGCCGGGACCCGGGCCCAGCCCAGGCTCCTTTCGATGTGCTGTCTTTCGTTAGCTTCCCCGACCCGCGTTCGCGGGCCTGTAGGGCTCTCCGGCAGGGCGTGCTACTGGAGTTGGCCAGAAGCCAGTCCTCGCTTTGTTTTCTGGCTCCTCCCCTCCCGCCTCTCCAGCTGTCTCCGCCCTGTTCTATTTTCCCAAAGAATGTCTGAACTGGGAGGTATCCCCTAGTGCCCTTGTTTTACCAGTGAGAAAACTGAGGCCTTTAGGAATTAAGTGACTTGTCCAAGGTCACTACCCGTATTTTAGGGGGCCAAGGCGAGGTGAAGTATTCCTGATATGGTACTGACTAGACCTTGTAGTTATTTTGAAAACGTTAGCTTCCAACTACAAAAGTAAACATTTCTTGATTCTTTCTCAAGTCTTCCTTTTCCCTGTTCCCCTTTAAACAGCAACAGCAACAACTGAAAACTCATTTCCAGTGTAAGTTTTCATATAGAAGAATTGAGAGACGGGAAAAGTGGTGTCAAGTTAGTGACAGATTCGCTGGGAAAGCTTTAGCTTATTCCAAGTTTTATTGAAACTTTTGGATGTCCCCAAAACCTAACCACACTCTCCTGTCTGTACATTTTGGTTTTATTGTCTGCTTTTGCTGAAAATTGAGAATTTTCTAAGATAAGAATTAGTTTGAGATTTGTTTTCCACTTAACCCACTGGGAATACTGTATTTGATAAGACACACAATACACGTAGACTACAGCTAGTGTAGCAGTTGTAATTCTAAATCCTAGTGAAGACTAAAGTAAAGCACTTAGAGTCTTATCTGATGGTTTCATTTTTCACTAATACTTTTTTATCTTGTACTGATATTTAGATTATGGCTTCCTCAAATTTTGAATGCAGTTAAGGTGCAGAAATGATCCAGACATTTATCATGTGCAGTTAAAGTGTTTGGGGGCTTCTAGGAACAAAGTACCTGAGTTGAAATTTTGCTTTCACTATTTTCTATTCCTGTGCCTCAGTTTCCTCAGCTGTAAAATAAAAAAATGTTAATATGTAATGGTAAGGTTGGGAAATTAAATGTAATTTTTTTTAAAATACACAGAGTACTAGGTAATTAATTGTTTAATAAATGTTCCAAAAATAATAGTTATTAATAAAAGACATACGGGGGAAGGAACTTGTTTAGTGAATAATCAATATGAGTTGGGATGAAGTGAATTATATTTAGAATGATGCTATAAGTAATATACTTGAACATCCTTCTAGTTGATAGAATATTAAATCTGTTAGGATGATTTCCCAGAGGATTTAGAAGAAAATGCTTTATAAATATTCTATATCTGAACATATATGTTGATGTCCAGGTTAGCAAGATGAACAAAGATGCGCAGATGAGAGCAGCAATTAACCAAAAGTTAATAGAAACTGGAGAAAGAGAACGGTAAGTAATAGATTGTGTTATTAAATTACATTATACCATCTTTAATAGTTACTTAATGTTATAAGAATCTAATTATCAAGAAACAAACAAAACATGCCAGTGAAAAGAATTACAGAAAGTTGAGATTATCAAAAACTTCTATTCCTAACAGCCGTAAGAGTTTATTTAGGTGCAACATTGCTTGCAAGACTTGGACCAACACAGGCAATGTAGAAGCCAGAAATTATTATAATAAATATATAAATTATTATAGATTCTCAAAGAATGTATAATACAGTGGGGAAGAAAAAATACTCAGATAGCTACAGTTGAAGACATAATGTTACCCAGGTTTTCATAAGACTACATGATAAAGCCACATTGGAGCAGCATGTGCCATTCCTTTTCTATGAAATATTTCTCTTCTGTTCATTCTTAGTAAATTCTAGTTCATCTCTCATGTATTACTTTAAATATTGCTTCTTCAAGGAATCTAATTATGGAATCCCAAATACTTTGTTCTGTCATATCATTTAATCACATCCTGTTCTAGTTACCTACTTTACTAGTGTGTAGCTCTCAATATAATCCAAGTTCCATGATAGCGAAAACAGTTTTGTATACCCAGAATCTAATGCTATAACTGACACCTAATTGGTTAAATAAATATTTGAAGAAGGAACAGGTTTAGAAATATACAGAAGGGGCCAAGGAGTCAATAAAGACTCCTAGAAGCAAGATGATAAAGTTTAAAAGAGAAATATATATGTGTATGGAAGAGGAGGAATTTTTTCAATTCTACCTGGGGATTAAGGGGATGGGTAAGATCTCACAGAACAATAAAAGATGCTTATGCTGGGTTAGAAGGATTATCAGTTCTCTAAGCCAGTAAAGGAGAGGATATTATCTTCTAATGGCATGTGCAAATTCACAGAGCTTGGTACAACATGATTAATTCTCTGGGTACTACAAAATTATAGAAGAAAGCTATACGTAAAGAATAAAAGCATGTGGCTGGAAGAGTGGACAGAGTATGAATTTGGTATAAGTTAGAATTATTTCAGCTAAAAATAACAGAAACTAAACTCAGAATCTGGCTTAACCAATAGAAACATATAAGCTCATCTAATTAAAATATCTAGGGTTTAAAGTTACTTCATATATCACTAAATTTAGGCATGCAAAAATTATTGCCAAGGATGTATCTTCTCTCACCTCTGCTTTTCTCTGTTGTTGGCTTTATTCTTAAAATAGGTGGCAGAGATTAGCAGTTCAAACTTACATATCACTGCTCAGACTGCCTTGTTGAACACAGGACCTAGCTTGATTACCATCTTATTTAGGTAATAGGCAAGTTATGATCAGCCTTGCCTAGGCCATATTCCATTACTAGACCCTTAGCCAGATTCTTATACTGAGAATGGCAAGTGTTTTGTTCTTAATCAAAGAAAGGTCAGGAAAATGGATGCTCTGATTTGCAAAAATATTCATTGCTCACTTTATCCTTGAATGATGGGAATTATTGAAAGATTTTAAGAAAGGGAATAATTAGATCACATTTACACTTTACAAATTGTATTCTGTGATTCTGTGTGAAGGATAGACTTGAAGATTCAAGACAGAAAACAGATAAATGACTTAGAAGATTGTATTGGGTTAAAAAGAAAAACAGCAAAAATGGAAAGGAGAACTTAAAATTTTTTTTTTTTTAAAAAGTGGAAACAGCTCTTTTTATGAGGAAGGAGGCATCAAGAACAGTGCCATGGGTAACTTGAGAAGATAGTACAGCTAGTAGTAAGTAGAGAAAATTATGTGGTTTTTTGGGGTTTTTTTTATTCGTGCAGCTTAGTTTCCAAGTTTCAATCACATAGCCTACCCTCTAAGGTGCCGGAGATACAGTAGTCAACAAAATGAAGTCTGTTCTTTTATGGAACTTAACACTGTAAAGGGAGGAAACATACAATACATGTGTAATATGGCAGATAATGATGAGTGCTGTGAAAATAGTAAAGCAGAGAATAGACATGGAGAGGTGATATTTTGGGTAGAGAACGTTTCACTGCCAACAGATCAGAAGGATATGAGGAAGTGGAGGGGTTCCAAGAGCCAAGGTCCTGAGATGAGCTTGCCTACTATTTTTGAGAAATACATGGAAGCTAAGGAGACTGCAGAAGCTGAGTGAGGGAGAAAAGAGATAATGTAGAATCATTTAGGCTGTAGTCAAGTCTTGGAGTTTATTCTGGGTAAATTGTGAAGGCACTGGAAGGTTTTGAGCAGTGCAGGATAATGAAGTGCACAATGAAAGAAGCAGGGAGACAACTTAGGTAACAGTCCAGAAAGGAAAAGATGGTGGTTTAAACTAGGATATTGATGAAGATAGTGATAGACATTTGACTTCTAGGTATATATTTTAAAACTAAAACCTGTAGGATATCCTCATGGATTGGATGTGAAGCGTTAACAAGGGATCTGAGTAAAAGGTGCTGCCAGAGTTTTCAGCCCAAAGAACCAAAAGAATGGAGTTATTTTGAGAAGGAAGCAAGATGAAGTAGGAGAAAATATAAAGTTGGACTTTAGCTCTATTGAGAGTAAAAGATCAAAATCATGGAATTTGCAGGGAAATGGATGGCATTAGAGCAGATTATGCTAAGTGAAGCTAGCCAATCCCTAAAAAACAAATGCCAAATGTCTTCTTCAATATAAGGAGAACAACTAAGAACAGAGCAGGGAGGAAGAGCATGAGAAGAAGATTAACATTAAACAGGGACGAGAGGTGGGAGGGAAAGGGAGAGAGAAGGGAAATTGCATGGAAATGGAAGGAGACCCTCATTGTTTTACAAAATTACGTATAAGAGGAAGTGAGGGGAAAGGGAGAAAAAAACAAGGGGGAGAAATGAATTACGGTAAATGGGGTAGAGAGAGAAGATAGGAGGGGAGGGGGGATAGTAGAGGATAGGAAAGGCAACAGAATACATCAGACACTAGTATGGCAATATGTAAAACAGTGGATCTGTAACCGATGTGATTCTGCGATCTGTATACGGGATAAAAATGGGAGTTCATAACCTACTTGAATCAAATGTATGAAATATGATATGTCAAGAGCTTTGTAATGTTTTGAACAACCAATAATTAAAAAAAAAAGTAAAAGATCAAATGGAAATGTCACTTAGTGGATCTCTAGGAATATTCACAGAGAAGCAAT